ACGTACGTAAACGATACCGATACTAAAACATCTACAAGGTTTGCATATTCATATGCCTCTAAGACCAAATCTCATTTCCATTCTCCTTCAATTCATTTCAAGTTCATATATACTACTAAATTCATGAGTTAAATTTATTATCTTTCAACAATCAAAATGAGACTACAACTCAATGGTTTTCTAACTATTCAAAACACACATAAACACTTCAAATCTGTCATTTTATGGATATTTTGTCTGAGGGAATCGACACATATTTATATGTGAAATTTCGGGTCTTTCACCCAAGACACACTGGCCAACTTGCTTTAAAATGGAGTCCATCCCCTTTCTCCTCCTAAACAAATATACATATGCAATGTATTTATAACTATAGTCATATGCAATGACAACCAATATTTGATTAGCATTAAATCACCTAATCTGCATGCAATTTCTACAACAATTATAGTTATCCTCTACCGATAGCTCAATACATTTATCTCTAAATAGATATTCAATCTCAAGGTAAATAGTTTATTCAAAACTTACATAGATGGGATATTACATATCCAATATCACCATCTATACCCATAATCTTCCAATTTCACATTTTCAATGCAAATTTCCAATTATTTATACAAAATAATAATTTAATCAAAACTAGGGCAAAATCTCCCTCTTTCCAAATACCAACCCAAATACCAAAATCAACTATTTTGGCATAACATGATCTTATATTCAAGTCTCATACTTAATTTCCTCGTATTCGTCAAAAACCCTTTTTTCATTTCACACCCAAATCCTAGATTTGTCCAAACCACAACCAAATCTCATCATCTATACACAATAGCAAATAACTAAACTAAAAATCATATTAGAGTGTAGAAATTCCCTACCTCAAGTTTAAAGAAGAAAAGAGTTGAAACCCCCAAAATCAACGACGATGAAACTCGATCTCCACCGCACATAACAAAGCCCTCGAGAAGTTACACAACTTTGACGAAGGAACTATGTCCAAAATCCCAATGGATTTAGAGAAATCAAAGAGAGAAGATGGTTTTTAGAGAGAAAGGATCTAGATCTGAATTTTGGAGACTTTTAGAGAGAGAGAGGATTGCAAAAAGTGATCTGAAATGTCACTTTCGCGAGCTGATAAAACGCGGTCCACTCGAGCGTGGAAAGCCCCGCTCGAGCGTCAGACACAGACTCACGCTCGAGCGTGAAAACCTGCGCTCGAGCGTGAAATACGCTTTCCTAGTATTTTTGCAGACACAGTCCCTGCTCGAGCGCCCGAATGCCCGCTCGAGCGTAGAGCAAAATTTCAAAAGCCCGTTTGAGCGCAATAATGCCCGCTAGAGCGGAAGAGCCAAATTCTGGGCAACAAAGGCTTGGAAAAACAAGCAACCAATCTGTTCCAAACACACAACTACAACCCAATAACCAACATTAAGGGGAGACAAAGGAAGCAAGATGTGAACAACCATCCAAACCGTACAAACTCGAGTCCGGAACACCACAAGAGATGGGTCAAAACCAGGGTCGCTATATTTGTGAGAGAAAAAATGTAATGATTATAGGTTACATGTGATGTTTTGTCTTATTAGGCCTTGTTTGTCATAATCCAAAAAAGCCAAAAAGCCACTATCTTATTTAAGTCATATCACCTCTCTACCACATCACTTTGAATCTAACTCATACCTAACTCATATTTCATAAAAAGTTAAAAAGTACACTTATTTAGATTATCTCAAACTATCCCTAAGCTAAAAACTTTTTTTTTTTTTAATAGCTAAAATAGCCAAAAAGTCCCGAGCTTTTTCTTCCCAAATGAACCTAGTGTAATCTTTACTGGTACTTAGACGTCAACATACCTAGCTTATTTACTAAATAAATAAATAAATAAATATAATTGAGTAATTGTGCTTTGATCTAATTTTAAATTGTAACTTATTTTATTTTTTTAGTTTATTTGGCCCTAAAAAATAAGGTTGCGTTTGGTAGAGTTTTGTAAATATGATTTGAGAGTATGAGTTGTATTTTGAATTTGTGAGTTTTGAAATTATGATTTGAGTGTGGAAAATTTGTTTGGTAAAAGAGTTTTGAATTGAGTGGGGAATTTTTGATGTGATATATGATATTTGATACAAAAACTTATAACTCATAACCAAACATACAACTCAAAATTCTATTAAAGCACATAAAAAATTTTAAAAAGTTCAGAAAATATTTTTTTCGAATATATAAAAATTAACATATCAATTGCAAAAAAAAAAAGAAAATTTGCACTGTTCCGGTCAACCTGCGGGACCATTGGTTAGGCCAAATTTAAAAAAAAAAAAAAATTCAAAATCATGACGTTAAGCCAAATTTCAAAAAAAAAAAAAAATGAAAATCGTGTCTTAGACAGAGTTTTCTGCAGAGTTGTGAAAAATTAGTTCCACATACCTATCCAAACATCATATTCAAATGTGGGGGTAGAATCAACGTTTGGAAATCGTTCCAAGCAGAGCCTAAGATTCTTTTAGGATACTTAGATCAGATGTTTATTTTTTAAACTTTTGGGTCAATAGACCAAACTTAAATCTTTTTGAGCTAAAATGATATTATTTGTCCAAAAGAATGTCTATTCAAAATTTACTTATTTCTATCTGTTCAAATGTCACATATATGTCTAAATGTCACCTATTTGTACACATGTCACCTATTTGTTCACCAATCTATTCTTATCACCAAAAAAGATTAAACATTGAACTTAATAACATATATATGACCCCATAAGAAAGGACCTTTCACTAATTAACTTTTTTTTTTTTTTTTTAAAATTACAATTTGTAATTTATTTGAAACTCTTAAGTATTTGAATAGACCAAAACAATGTCTATCACATTTTAGTTTAAAGTCATTAAAAATTTCAAAAAACTAACAAACTATATAAAAAAAAAAAAAATCAAAGATTCTATTTTCTCTCTATTTTTTGCACATCTTTTTGTAAAAAAAATCAAAAAAGTTATCACAAACATACTAATTTTACCTCATATTTTAGCTCAAAACAAATTAAAAAGTTACTAAAATAATTTGATCCTAAACGAGTTAAAAAAGTTCATGCTAAAAAAAAAATATATGAACAAAAGTGTCTCATACCTTGTGTCGTAATAACAATGTTTGGTAGTCCGAATTTTCATGGCTCTAATGGCTTGAAGGTATCAAAACGACGTCATTTTGGGGATAAAACAATGTCGTTTTGATACATTTATGACATTCAGATCACACAAATTCAAGCTACTAAGCATTTTTCATGTCATAATCATAACTTTTGAGGGTATTTTAAATATTTTTGCATCACAAAAAAAATTATGTAACAAGTTATTTAACCAAACAGTTCAACTTTTTATAAAAGATTATTAAAATCTCTGCCAAACATATTTATAATTTGTTTAAATTTTTTTTAAGTCGATAATTTAAAAATTATAATCTTAAAAATTAACTTATAAGTTATACAACCGACTCCAACTCGTGTTTCATTCTATTTCAATAGGATTGAGATGCTATATAGTAAAATATATAAAATATTTTTAAAGAAAAATAGTGGGAAACTAAATCAAATGGATGAGAAAGTCTATGGTGTCCACCCTTAGGGTGCAAATCATATGCACCATATTATAAATATTGTATAATTTTATCATAAAAATTTATAATATTGATCATAAAATATATAATCTCGTTACAAATTAACATAATAAAATGTTCAAAATTTTATGATTCATATAACAAAAGTTTATAGTTTGATTACGACATTTTTTATTATGCTAATTTATGGTGAGATTACATATTTTGTAATTGATACTATAAAATTTTGAGATAAATTTATACTAATTTGTGGTAAGATGCACACCATAAAGTTTTTCCAAATCCAAATGGATTGATCGAATATTATGGCTGATATTTTCAACCTAATCGCAATTGCGTTTCTTTCTAACAACAGCAACAAAAATAAAATAAAATAATAATTAAATAGTTAAAAAGCTACACTGATTGATTTTAGGATTAATTAATAATAAATTAGATCATTAATCTTTGTTGATTTAAGTAAAGTGTCATTTTAGACCCTGTATTTTGAATTATTTGAACCTTGTACTTTAAATTTTGTTGCAATGTAGTTTTTTTTTTCTTTTTCTTTTTTTTCCTGACGGCCGGGTGTCCAAACTAGTTTACGCACACCTTAACTAATTCGGGGATCCACACAAAGCGTCCCTTCCATGTGGATTGGGTAAATCTCAAGCAAAGCTCACAGTCGCAGTCCTAAGGAGCAGATTATTCCTGATGAGAGTTGAACCTGAGATCTAGAGAAAACACACCCCTAAGCCCCAAGTTATACCTACTAAGTTATACCTACTAGGCCAACCTCTTGGGATTATATGTAGGTAGCCCCTTTGTTATGAGTTGTTACCATTTTAATCCGAAAATATCACATGCAAATTTAAAAATATTATAGTGAAATTCAAAAGAAATTATAAGGATCATCAACGTCACTTATTTATTATACCGGTGGTGTCTTTAATTTTCTTTATTTCTTAATATCACTTTCGTCCATTTAGTTTTGAACGTAGTTTTTTTTTCATTCAAAATTCTAACAAGTGATGGGAAGACTATATTTCAACTAAACTAAAAATATAGGGTTCAAATTGTTCAAATTTAAATTACAAAGTTGCTCAAACTAAAAGGACGATTGGTGTAATTTACCCTTAATTATTTGGGGCCACTATGTACCTTAGGGAGCCCACTCCAAATCTCATTTTGATGAGCCGAATTGTTTAATGATTTTTTAATAAATATTAAGTAAAAAATACCTAAAACATTAATTTTATTAAAAAATATTAAATAGAACATCTCATTGTTTATTGTTTAATACATGTTTTTGAGTACTATGGTTAATGGGATCCACAAAGTGGCATATACTCCTTTTATATAGAGGTGCACTCACATTCACAACTCAAGAGCATTCTTAACCCTTCTTAGCCATGGCAACTTTCCCTCTCACTAAACAAGCCTATATTTCAAAAACCAACGATGAAAAAGAAGAGTATAAAGAAACTTACCAAAAGTACAATGAGATGCTCCAAACCCTTCCCAAAGGGAGAGGCTGGATGAGCCAACATGTTCTCCAGTATCAAGGTTTTTGGTTTAACCCTGATATTGGCTTGAAAGGAGCCATGTTGGTACAAAATCACTTCAAGCCTCGTCCCACTGATATTTTCTTGGCAGCCTTCATAAAGTGTGGCACGACATGGCTTCGCACCCTCATGTTCGCCACGATGAATAGATCCCTTCATGATATTTCCTCCCACCCTTTGCTCAATACCGGTCCCCATGGTTGCTTTCCCTGCTTAGATACACATAATTTTAGTGACTGTCCCATTAGTGACCTTGAAGCTATTCCTTCACCTCGGCTCCTTGCTACTCACATTCCTTACCCTTTGCTACCTGAATCTGTGATAGCTTCTGGTTGCAAGTTTGTTTACATTTGGCGCGACCCCAAAGATGTGCTTGTGTCTATGTGGTACTTCTTGAACAAACTAAAACCCAAAGAACAACCACCACTATCACTAGACGAAGCATTTGATCTCTTTTGCAAGGGCATTTCAGATTATGGACCCTTTTGGGATCATGTGTTAGGATATTGGAAGGCGAGTCAAGAATCACCTGATAAGATATTGTTCCTGAGGTATGAGGATTTGAAAAGAGAGCCATCGGTTTACCTCAAAAGATTGGCAGTATTTCTAGGACAACCTTTCACAATAGAGGAAGAGAAAGAAGAAGTGGCGCAAAAAATAGCTAAGTTTTGTAGTTTTGAGAATTTGAGCAACTTGGAGGTTAATAAGTGTGGTGTGCAACAATTTAATACGGAAGTTGCAGTCGAAAATTCCAACTTCTTCCGAAAAGGTCAAATTGGAGATAGTAAAAATCATTTGACCAACAACATGATAGAGCATATCGACCACATCACGAAGCAAAAGTTCAATGGTTCTGGATTGATCTCTGATGAATTGTTGACGTCCTAATTAACTATGTTTGTTTTAATAATTATTGTACTTGTGACATGTATTTTTGGTTTTAGTTGTTTCAAGATCTGCACGAATCATACAATACGTGTATGCTTGTTCAATAATGTTATGTTTAATTTAAATAGAAGTAAATAAAGTTTGGCCTTTTATGGCATAATGAAAATTCTCTACTAGATAGAATGGTGGTTTTTCAATCTAAGTAACTTGTGACAATCTTAACATTGTCCCACTTCAATAAACTGTGAGATTGAACATGTGAACATAGAATTTTGGACACCCTTCTCTTCCAAATTAATTTTCAAGAGTGAATTCTGGAAGAAAATGCTACATAAGGTAGGGTTTTCTACTGTGAATGTAAGTGCTAATGTGTGTCTCGTTCATGTAAATAGAACTCCAATAGTATGCCTATTGTATGTTTCATTTGAAACCCTAAGTGGTAATACATGGGTATTATGATTAGTTGAATAATGAAAACCCTAAATTTTATGGTTGATTAATTGAATGAAAAGTTGAATGGATTAGACAAGCTCCAAATGTTTAAGATAAACAAATGTTTCAAAATGTTGGCCACAAGATGTTAAATAAGATACCAAAGTTGTTACCTTGTTATGCAGATGTTGGTAACATGAAATTGAATATGCATGAAAGAAGTAAATATTTAGAAATGTTCAAATAGAACTCGAATGGTATGCGTATATTGTATTTTATTTGAAACCGTAAGTGGTAATACATGGGTATTATGATTAATTGAATAATGAAAACCCTAAATTTTATGGTTGATTAATTGAATGAAAAGTTGAATGGATTAGACAAGCTCCAAATGTTTAAGATAAACAAATGTTTCAAAATGTTGGCCACAAGATGTTAAATAAGATACCAAAGTTGTTACCTTGTTATGCAGATGTTGGTAACATGAAATTGAATATGCATGAAAGAAGTAAATATTTATAAATGTTCAAATAGAACTCGAATGGTATGCCTATTGTATGTTTTATTTGAAACCGTAAGTGGTAATACATGGGTATTATGATCAATTGAATAATAAAAACCTCTAAATTTTATGGTTCATTAATTGAATGTAAAGTTGAATTGATTAGACAAGCTTCCAATGTTTAAGATAAACAAGATGCCTCCAAATGTTGGCCACAAGATGTTTAATAATACCAAAGTTGTTATTTACTTGGTTATGCACATGTTGGTAATACGGAATTGAATACACAACACTATAAAAAAATAAAGTTTTAGAGATCAAAATTTAGGGACAAAATTATTTTTTTGATACTAAATGCTTTTGTTGCAAAAAGTATCATTATATTTTTAGCAACGAAAATTAAACATTAGTGATGAATCATTATTCTTTTGGGACCAATTTTTTTGTCTAAAAAAATAAACCATTTTGAGACTAAATTTTTTTATCCTTAAAAGTCTATTTATTAGTGGCATTTTCAAAATTTTGTCGTTAAAAGACTTATTTTTGACTTTTTGAAACGATCTTTTAGCGACTATCCTCGTAACGATGAAAATTCATCCCTAAATATCTTCTGTAATAAAATTTTCACTTTTAAAACCCTCATATGTTGTAGTGCAAGAAAGAAGTAAATATTTAGAAATGTTCAAGAATAGTGATAACAAACAATATGATGAACATGAAATTAATTGAGCATGTAGAAAAAAACAAACATAGAATGCAAAGTAAAAAATAGAAATGTATTGGATACTCCATTGGAAGGAATTAATGTGAAAATTGAAAGGCTCTGTGTACTCTGTTGGGTGGGATTCACTTATGTTGTTTAATCTACTGGAATAGGATGATATAGTGCTTACTCTATAGGATGTATTGAAATGTGACTATGATCACATTTGGGACAACAAAGTTCTTGGAAGACTCAGAGAGATAGTGAAGCTCAAATCTCTCAAGTTCTGCCATGCACATAATTGCAAAAATAATTTATTTTGTTTTCTTTTTTAGAAACTGTTTTTAAACAAAATTTTGTTTGTCTTTAGTAAATTTTTTTCCTATTTTAATTATTTTTTTACTTTTTAGAAACATCAAGATTAGGTGAATCTAAAAAGTTAAAAAAAAAATGAGTAAAATACGAAGAAACAAAATACTAAAAACAAACGAAAACCCAAACATTAATGCACACAAGTTTTTATTTACATTTTCATTTGTTTTTGGTGAATTGTTTCATATTTTAGTTATTTTATTTATTTAATTTTTTTTTACCTACATCTAGACTAGCATCATACCCGTGCCATGCACGGATTAAAATAAATAATTAAAAATTATTTTTGAAACTAAATTATAACAAAAACTCTTTTTATAATACAAAAGAAAATTTATTTAACATTAACTAGTTCCCATATAATAATTATATTTATGATAAAATAAAAATATATTTCATCTTGATGAATTTCATAATTTTAATTTTTCAATTTACCAATCATCTCATATCAATTATGTAAAATCAATTACCTTATCTATTTTGTAGAATTCAATCAATCAAAATTGAAGAATAATTAAAAAATAGAAAAAAAAATGAAAGTATCAGTGACCCCAATCTTCAACGCACTCCATCTTGCTAGCCTGCTAGGTATAACATCTAAAACAATCTCACCAAATATTAATTAGTTAATTATATTTATTAATTTTTTAGAGCTTAGACCAATTGAACATTTTGCAACCCCTAAAGTCATTTTCTTAATTTGATCACCACTATAGATCATTTTTAATTTTTGACTTTGTATATTTTTTAATCGTTTTAAATTAAAAAAAAAAAACTAGAACTAATATTTTAAACTGATAAGCTCACTGTTTCAGTGCTTCAGTGACTCTTCAGTAAAGAACAACTTGTGTTTCATTAAGCCATCAACCTAAATGAAGACAGTTAGTCAAGAAGAGATATACCTTCACTCATGTAACTGAAAGTTAGTTATAAGTAAGAGTGAGAAAGTTAAGAGTTTGTTTAGAGGAAGTTAGAGTTTGTTATAACAAACTCTAACCATCTTGTATAAAGCTGTGCACACTCTTGTAAATCAATTTATTGAGAATTCAATTCAAATTTTGTCATGGTATCAGAGCTATAGAAGCTCTTACGAGCAAGGTCCAACAATGGTTATTTCTCATCCTTCATCATCAAATTCTCAATCTATACCATCAAATCTTAGTCTTCTTGTTTCAAATTTCAATTCCTTGATTACTGTCAAACTTGATTCTACAAAATTTCTTGATTTGGAAAAGCCAACTTCAAAATGTTCTTCAAGCCACAAATTTCCTTGATTTTGTCACTGGTTTGGTACCTTGTCCAGTCTCTGAGATTCTTGATTCCTCTGGAAACACAGTGCCAAATCTAGAATTTCTTCAATGGAAAACTATAGATGCACATCTTCTGAGTTGCATTACTGCAACACTCTCTCCTTCTGTGTTTTCTTCAGTACTTCATCATCACCATTGTTTTCAGGTATGGAGTGCTTTAGAGAAGAAATATACTTCACTTTCTCGCTCACATATTTATCAGTTTAAAAATCAGTTACAATCAGTTACAAAAAGAGGTTCGTCAATGGAGGAATATCTGACTCAGATCAAAGAGATCTCCAATCAACTTCGTCTTGCTTCTTCAATGGTTGATGATGAGGATCTGGTACTCCTCACTTTGAATGGATTACCTGAAGAGTATGATGCTCTCAAAACAGCTATACGAGCTCGTGTAGAATCAATTTCCATGGAAGATTTGTGTTCTCTTCTCTGTTCAGAGGCCATACATGTTGAAAACAAAGCTAAACTTGCTCTACAACATGAATCTCCAGTTGCTTATTCCACAACTAAGAGTTCTGAAGGTTCACCATCCTATTCTCAGTATTCTAGGGCTCATTCATCTGGCAATCAAAGTTACCGAGGCTGCAATTCTTTTAGAGGTTCAAGAGGTGGACGATATAGAGGAGGTAGATCCAATCGCTTCAACAGAGGCAGATTTGGAGGACACACCAATAATTACAATTCTAATTCTGGTTCTGGATGTCAAATCTGTGGAGGTTTCACTCATACAGCATTTGTTTGTTGGTTCCACATGGATCCAACCTATCAGCCACCTCATTCTTCATCAATTTATTCAGGTTCCCAATTGAAGGCTTATTCTACTACAACCAATCTGAACTCATCTAACCAGACTTCTTTTCCTACTGAGTCATTTTCTGCACCTTGGCACATTGATTCTACAGTAACAAGTCATATCACCAATGATCTTAGCAATCTTCATCTCTATCATCCATATCAAGGACCAGATCACCCATCCTAGAACTACTCCAGCCTAAGCACGCTTAACTGGGGAGTTCTAATAGGGATTTCACCATTTGGGAAAAGGCCTCGATGCTATATAAGGGTCCAGGTTTTTACTTTTATAGCCCAGAAACTCCCCCTTCTATTCCCGATGTGGGACATCGAGGCCCTACAATCCACCCCGTATAAGGCTGCACGTCCCCGTGCAGTAGCCTGCCAGCTTGCAAGCCCGCCCACATGCACCAAGAGACGCCAAGGGCCCACACTCGGTACTCCGGAGAGTCAGCTCTAATACCATTTGTAACGCCCCGACCCTTTACACGTCATCAATATTGTCCACTTTAGGCCACGCCCGCACGGATTTGTTCTTTCCAGTGGGTCACCCATCCTAGAACTACTTCAGTCTAAACACGCTTAACTGGGGAGTTCTAATAGGGATTTCACCACTTAGGAAAAGGCCTCGATGCTATATAAGGGTCCAGGTTTTTACTTTTATAGCCCAGGAACTCCTCCTTCCATTCCCGATGTGGGACACCGGGGCCCTACACCTTGATATGTTGATTCTGCAGCAACAAGTCATATCACCAATGATCTTAGCAATCTTCATCCCTATCATCCATATCAAGGACCAAATCAAGTGACTGTAGGAAATGGTCAGAATGTCCCTATTCAGTATGTTGGTAAGGGATTATTACCTACTCCAAAATATTCTTTCCAGCTC